CTACATATACAGTACATTTCACATATATTTTAAGACACGTTCAGTTTAAGGCCCGTATGTAACACGCTGCTGAATTCATAACCTTTTGACATCCCGCTAGACGTGGAAGGAGCGAAGCCGTGGTATTACACGGCGTTGCTAAGCTTGGCGCTCCCGTCCTGATTAAGTCCAGATCCGATCTTTATAACACACCTGTATTCGAATAATGATGTCATACCTCTTCCTGTACAGTTCTGTATTATTTATATACATTGCAGGGCCGCTTGTAATATCCAGGCTCGTTAATGGCTTGCGGCTCTCCCCTTATTATTACCATTAGCATTTAGGGATTGGCTGGAGTTTCGGGCCGCTGGCCGGGCGCCCACTTGGCAGCTAACGAGTTGAGTCTCTGGAAATTAGCTGGGACACAGGCCTTTAACGAGAAACTTGGCCGCTTCCAGCTATTAAAAGGTTTTAAGTCGGTGCCAAAGGCTTAAAAGAAGAGTTCACCGAGCACCGAGCGACGACCCCTTGAAGCGTAGCTGATACGTCTCCTGATTATTAACCGATGAGACCATCGCGGTTCACCGGACGAACGCAGCTGCAAGAGCTTAGCGCTTGGACGTCTGCGGCTACCTTCCTCCAGGTAACGTGGTTGCCTGCCGCAGCCAGTCCATCCTCCCCGGAGGAACGGGTTCTGCGGCTACGCGGGAGGAACCGAAGATGACTCCGGCTACATGCAGATGGTGCCGGATGACGCAGGCGCTTATGTGGCGGCACTCCAAGCCAGGAAGGGGGGTGGGAGCGCTCGGATCTGCTTTCTGTGCCAACTCATAAACACTTTTTATTTGTGACTTTAAACTGATTAAGTTGCATTAGGCGGCGGGCAATTAAGATAGAACTCCGGCATCTCCCTGGAGGGGAGTCAGTTCATTACGCTGAAGGAAGGATTATAAAAACACGTTATGCCCAATAAATGGAATGCTTGTGCTGTGTCATCGCGTTCAACAAGACGGGACAAGGGAGACACAATCCACCTGTACGTTGTACAAAAAGTGGAATTCCGCCTATAACTTGAAGTGCATCTAGTATAGCCAAAACCTTTTGAATGGAGAGGTTTAGAGCCCCTCAGGCTTTTATTATTGTGCCCCTACTTTGGGAGGGGGGGGGATGCACCCTCTGTATTTGCCCAGGTGACCATAAACAGAAAGTGATAGAAATTCATATTTTTATAGGTGTCACCAAAACAGGGACAGAATGAAAATCTCACAAACGGGGGCGTAACTAGAGATCATGGGACCCCATAGCAGAAGTTTGATGGGGCCCTTCCTAGCGTGGCATTCCCTCCACGGCGCGCATAGAAATTTCCCATGCTCCCCAGCTCCATCTAATGGTGGGAATGCAGCACATACACCATTTGCCCAGCTATACGCTTGGTGGATAGTTTATCAGATGCAAAGTATGTCTAAATCAGGGACAGGTAGCAGGAGAGCAGCCCATGATTTTTAAAGCCTGGGGAAGACTGCATTCAGCATACAAATCTATTTTCAGTGCTGGCCGGCATGACCAGAAGCTCTGAGGGCATCATTACATCTATACTACTAGGGTCTAGAAAGGAGATTTCCCTTACATGAAGAGATATTTTCTCATTTCCTCTGCTGCCTTCCTGCAGAAAGAAATTGGAAATGTTGTCAACAGGACCCAGACTCTAAAAATTCTCTCCTTTAATTGCTGTGTCAGAAATCAGGAGATTGTTCCTCATTTCCTGTTGAAGTCACAGCAGACAGCAATAAAAACCTGATAGAGCTTCATATCCTTCCCCATTCCAATAAAAAAATGGGGTAGAGGTCTAAGGGGCCTATTGATAAATCTTCCGCCCAGCCATCGGTATTGGTGCATCCCTACTTTATATAGTAAAAAAAAAAAACCCCAGCGGTGATTAAATACCACTAAAAGAAAACTCTATCTGTCCCAAAAAATGGTATAAAATTAGTTTCAGTACAGCGTTGCATGACAGAATAAATGTCAGTTGAAGTATCGCAGCGCTGAATACTGAACAATGGCCTGGCCAAGAAGGGGGTGTAACACCCTGGGCTTCAAGTGGTTAGTAAACGAATGCATTCCTTGGTGTTCTTACTGGAGTTCAGTGGTAAAAGTGTACCAAAAAAAAAAAAGAAAGATTAAAAGATCTTTTACGGTTCCCCTTTAAGAGCATTCTGCTCGGCAGCGTCTCCCCCTCCACCCAGACGAGAGCGGGAGAGTTAATATTACATTTCCGCAGCAGTAAATAGAGACTGGAATTAAACCTCGGCGAGTATTGTTAAAATTAAATAATTAGTGTGGGAAGATTTCCTTGCCAATTATCTCGTTATTAAGGTTAATGACCCAGAAAGCATCTCGCCCCGCGACAAACAGATGATAATCAGCATTTACAAAAAGGAGCCATTTATCGTTCTGAGCCGGGAAGGCCTGAATCCGGCCTGGAAATGGATCTAATGCTACGTAATGCTTCAGAAAGCTTTTTTATTACATTGTTGCTTTATGACTTTGTTTGTTAGGCTGGGCACACACCTTACAACCATCGCAGGACTTTTGTCTTGCGATGGTTGTAAGGTACTTAAAAAAACTTACGATCTGCCTATGTTTCATAGGCAGATCGTACTTGCGATGATCGCAACCCACGCCCCCCGAGGGGCGGGCTTCCGATGACCGCAATGCCGAACGGGCAGTGTGCGCTTGCGCACACCGGCCAGTACGGCTGTTATCGTACGGACATGCCACAAACCCGCCGAACATCGTACGATGCTCGGCGGGTTTTCGAACATGTCTGTAAGTTTAAAGTCGTGCGACCTTACAGTAGTAGAGGTCGCACGGCTCCCACACACCTTACGATAATCGTACGATCGCGGTATTTCCCGCGATTATCGTACGATAATCGTAAGGTGTGTGGGGACCCTTACATTGTATTATTGTAAATGAAAATTATGTTTATTTTGCCCTGTGCACTGTGTATCATTAACAAATGCCATTTTTTATTCGAAATACTTTTTTTCACCTTTTTTCTCATCCTTTGTTACATCTCAGTGGTCCTGATATCCTACAGCCTCTTTGCAGGCACTTCCTGTGTACATGCACTCCAGCGATGTCTGGGAAGGTTTCCTAAAGGTGACAACGGTGGACCATGTCTGTGCAATGTGTAATGTTCTGGGCATTTGTGGGTTCCATCAGAAGAATATGTGACCAAGTGACAACACAGGAGCACAATTCGAAGACAGGGCAGAACGTAGTCACCCTATAACAGGACCTTAGTGGCATGATCACCTGCGATTTTTTTAAATGGCTCAAAATTACATATGATCAAAAACATACAGGAGGCAGGTGACAGCCAGTATGCTGAAAGGCAACTAAAGCAAACTGAACAGCCATAACACGGGGTAGCAACCTTGGCACTCCAACTGTTGTGGAGTCTATAACAGGAGTAGCAACCTCGGCACTCCAACTGTTGTGGAGTCTATTGCAGGGGTAGACAACCTCGGCACTCCAGCTGTTGTGGAGTCTATAGCAGAGGTAGGCAACCTCGGCACTCCAACTGTTGTGGAGTCTATAACAGGAGTAGCAACCTCGGCACTCCAACTGTTGTGGAGTCTATAACAGGAGTAGCAACCTCGGCACTCCAACTGTTGTGGAGTCTATAACAGGAGTAGCAACCTCGGCACTCCAACTGTTGTGGAGTCTATAACAGGAGTAGCAACCTCGGCACTCCAACTGTTGTGGAGTCTATAACAGGAGTAGCAACCTCGGCACTCCAACTGTTGTGGAGTCTATAACAGGAGTAGCAACCTCGGCACTCCAACTGTTGTGGAGTCTATAACAGGAGTAGCAACCTCGGCACTCCAACTGTTGTGGAGTCTATAACAGGAGTAGCAACCTCGGCACTCCAACTGTTGTGGAGTCTATAACAGGAGTAGCAACCTCGGCACTCCAACTGTTGTGGAGTCTATAACAGGAGTAGCAACCTCGGCACTCCAACTGTTGTGGAGTCTATAACAGGAGTAGCAACCTCGGCACTCCAACTGTTGTGGAGTCTATAACAGGAGTAGCAACCTCGGCACTCCAACTGTTGTGGAGTCTATAACAGGAGTAGCAACCTCGGCACTCCAACTGTTGTGGAGTCTATAACAGGAGTAGCAACCTCGGCACTCCAACTGTTGTGGAGTCTATAACAGGAGTAGCAACCTCGGCACTCCAACTGTTGTGGAGTCTATAACAGGAGTAGCAACCTCGGCACTCCAACTGTTGTGGAGTCTATAACAGGAGTAGCAACCTCGGCACTCCAACTGTTGTGGAGTCTATAACAGGAGTAGCAACCTCGGCACTCCAACTGTTGTGGAGTCTATAACAGGAGTAGCAACCTCGGCACTCCAACTGTTGTGGAGTCTATAACAGGAGTAGCAACCTCGGCACTCCAACTGTTGTGGAGTCTATAACAGGAGTAGCAACCTCGGCACTCCAACTGTTGTGGAGTCTATAACAGGAGTAGCAACCTCGGCACTCCAACTGTTGTGGAGTCTATAACAGGAGTAGCAACCTCGGCACTCCAACTGTTGTGGAGTCTATAACAGGAGTAGCAACCTCGGCACTCCAACTGTTGTGGAGTCTATAGCAGGGGTAGACAACCTCGGCACTCCAGCTCTTGTGGAGTCTATTGCAGGAGTAGGCAACCTCGGCACTCCAACTGTTGTGGAGTCTATAGCAGGGGTAGCAACCTCGCCACTCCAAATGTTGTGGAATCTATAGCAGGGGTAGACAACCTCGGCACTCCAACTGTTGTGGAATCTATAGCAGGGGTAGACAACCTCGGCACTCCAGCTGTTGTGGAGTCTATAGCAGGAGAAGCAACCTCGGCACTCCAAGCAAAGCATTTATTCATTACAAAGCATTACTTCACTACATTTAGTGGCCAAAATGCAGTATTACATCACAACTGACATGCGCTACGACCGCTGAATAATTCCTGTTACCTCATAGGCTGGGTCCGCAGTGCCGTCTTCAAATCCTCCACAATTTTATTCCTCATCTCTGTGTCCTCCTCGTCAAACGCGTACAGGCTCTGCATCTGCGAGAGAAAACATCACCGGGTGACATGATCATTACTCATATCGATCGATGGATAAAAATGTCTACACAAGTGACAGAGCTGGCATTGTGTCATGTCACCGATCCGTTCCAGAACGCACAATCTGCTGAAATCCCTAAATATAAACAACTAGCGAGTTTTACTCCCACAGATCTACTATACACGCAAGGAGCGAGCGACAAAGCTATACATCGAGCTGAAGTTTTAATTCTCTTATATGTTGTGTTCTCTTGTCCATCCTTCCCTCCCCCCTCCCTACCCCACCATCAACATGCTAATTACATTTTTAAATAAAACCTCAAAAATGGGTACACGTTTCCACAGGCAAGATATTAAGGAGGCCCTTCCCAGAAGAGTGGAGGATGTTATAGCTGCAAAGGGGGCCAACTCCAAATTGATGGCCATGGTTTTGGAATGTGATGTCCAACCAGCTTATATAGGTGAGCTGGTCAGGTGTCCACCTTGACCTTGAGCCATATGGTGCACCAAACACTAGGTGGATTTAATCTTTAATCAGGTTAATTAATTTAGTTTAAATTCATAATTTAATTTACCCCCAAATGTGGAATGTAAAACAAACCTTAACGTCTGAATCCAGTTCGGCAATTTTGGCATGTGTAAGTAAAACTGTACATATCTTTGCAACAACTTAGGGGCTGATGTACTGTATAAACGTTCACCCCTGCATATAGCTGGGTGAAAGCAGCTTACATGACATTCCTGCCACTAGATGGAGACAATGAGCATAGGAAATATGCTCCTCAGCTCCATCTAGTGGCAGGAAAGTCGTGCGAATGGCTGTTGCACAGTTATATTTAGATTTTTAGATTGTAAGCCCTCAGGGGCAGGGCCCTCCTTACCATCTTGTCTTGAATTGTATTGTGATTGTAATGTCTTGTAAAAAGCACTGCGCAAACTGTTGGCGCTATATAAATCCTGTATAATAATAATATTTATATGCTGGGTGGGAAGTTTATACATCAGCCCCGTAGTGTATCCAGGTGAATCGTACCTTGTCATGTTCTGGACAAACTGGTCCTTCATTTGATGGTAATTGTTAATGGTATCTCCTGATTTTGTGTCCATGTTAAAGAAAACTGGCCCAAAATTGTGAAAAATTTCTTTTTTTTATACTTTAGTTGTATATTTCTTGTCATTACCATGAGCCCCCCCTCCCCCACCAAAAAGTAACCAAAAATATATTGTACTAATCCTGGCATCCAAAGTGATGCCCCCTATGTGTGCGTTATATGTTATCTGAACCTGCTAGGTCCATAAATAATAGTGCGCATTTTTCTTTTGTGGGTTTCCCAATCACTGTGATTGGCTCTCATAGGGGTCATGTGATCGGGAGTCCATCCTAGGGGCACCTGATCATCACCTTGTGCCAGGGAGCTGTCGGTGGCAGTGGGGGGATGCAATGGAGTGTGCTCCCAACACAAAACTTCTGTATGTGGTAGCACGGAATAAGACCCACCGCCGTGCCACCATGTGTAGTGCCGGCAGGAAGGGGGTTAGCTTAGGGCTGGATATTTGACTGGTTCCCTTTAAGATGGAGGCTGGAGACCTTGTTTTTGCCCCCCATTGTCTCTCGTGGTCGTGATCAAACATGATACTTGTTGCATCTCCAGATGGGTTAAACGCTGATAGTTCTGGGAACAGCTGCGTCGGTCGCAGTCCTGGCAATGTTTTCCAGATGTCCTGGGAAGTGGTGAAACCTTGTACGCGTCACATGCCCGCACTGGCTCCTGTATGTCAGTCGGCACAGCTGTCTACTGCCCCCCCCCCCTCTTCCAAAGTCGCCCCCCATTTTTGTTGTCAGCACAGAAACTGCTGAATTATTCATAGTTCACCATTGTAAAACATGCCAGACGCACAACAGAGAACGGCCAAAACTCCCCCCGCTTCCATCGGTGGCTCGTTCCATTCTCAGGGCTGAACTATTGTGATGGCGGGGGGGGAGGGGGGCGGTAGCAGCTGTATTTGCATATGCTGACCCCTCTCTGTCCTGCTGTGAATCATAAACCGACATCTTCCTGTACTATGAATGGGTCATCTACAGCGTGTATGTGAGCAGAATCCCCATCTCATCTGGGGGCGCAGCCTCACTCTGTTCTGGATCTTTATTTAACGTGGACCTTTCTTTACATAACCTTAAAGTTGACCTGATATGTTACAATGTACAGCAACAGCATCATTTTTTTTAGAAAAGATCCACCTTTTATTATTGAAAAGCTATTCTTGTCTAGTCACTGACTTTGCCTGAGATGATGTCATCAGTCTGCTGCAGGCAAGAGGAAGCATTTCCTCATTCTCCTCTCCCCCAATGATCAGACTGCTGCAGGCAGGAGGAGGTATTTCCTCAATCCACTCCCAGAGTGATCAGTCTGCTGCACGCAGGAGGAAGCATTCCTCAATCTCCTCTCCCCAGTGATCAGACTGCTGAAGGCAGGAGGAGGTATTTCCTCAGTCTCCTCTCCCCCCTGTGATCAGTCTGCTGCAGGTAGGAGGAAGCATTTCTTCAGTCTCCTCTCCCCCAGTGATCAGACTGTGCATTGTAACTTTGCAGCAAGTCACTAGGGTAGAGGCTACAGCAGGGGGTTGATCTGTATCAGACATTTGTGAACACAGCACACATGTCTCTGCGGACAGCATGATTGACCAGCAGGGCCCCCCTGATCAGAGAATGCGTCCACTTCTGTTTTCTGTCTTCGTGCCGAATTTGGACAGGAAGAAGCGCTGAAATAATGATGTCTTCCTGAGCCCTCCAGCTGGAAGAGTTGACGTCATGCAAGACGCACGCGGCGGCGGAGAACATGGCAGTAAATTAACAAACAGATTGCGTATGAATCATAGAA